TTCTTGCTTATTGAGGCCCAGCCTCATGACAGTAATGAAATGGTTGTATTTTTGTAACCCGTCTGTTTCATGTAGTAGCATAACTATTAATCAGTAATGTAAAAGCTATATCTCATTCTAGAAGTTCTTACTTTTGAAATAGTAGGAAAATAGGCACATCTGTTAACTGCCCTGATAAGATACTGTGTACCTTCCCTAAACTGTTTACCTGTTTTGTTTTGTTTTTTATATTGAAAAGTAGGAGTAATTTAACCGTAACAGAAGAGACATGGAAATATAGTTTTAAGATAGGTAGCATTCATACCAACTTCAAGTATTGAGAAAGGGAATCCATGGATTATGATGGAGTTCCTGTGGGCAGCTAGATAGAATTATCCTTTGTATGAGTCATTTAGTAGATGAGAAAACTATGTGTTGTACCTTTATTTGGTTCCCTAGTGAGACATGATGGGACATAAAAGACTACCATCTTCTGACTCCTAAGTATAGTCCTTTTCTTTTTCTCTCTTTTTCTTAAAGTTCTGTATCCCTCTCCCAATCCCTTAACCATTCTTTTAGCTCTGATATTGCTTCTTAATGCCAAACATCCATATTCCATGAGCTCCTAGAAAAGAGAGAGTAACGACCATCGGTTTCTCCAAGCTGCCTTGGAGTCAGTGCCACATTTACCAAACTGTCAGGTCTGTGACCATGTCCTTTTTGACTGGGCCCACAATTAAAGAACATCCGAAATGATGTCTTGGTATATGTCCTTACTAGCAATCTTGATTTTTAAGCCTCCATTTACAGGTTGATTCACAGTGGGGGGAGCCATGTTCAGAAACTTTCTCATAGTCTGAATTTTCTTCTTGTCTTTCATCTCTTTGCTTCTATTTATGTTCTTTGTACCTCTTCTTCCTTGAGCTTGCACCTTCTGCATCATTGACTCTATTATATCATCTTTGGGGCTGCAAAATAAAAGTTGGAGGATTTTTAAAGTTAAGGTTCCCAGAATAATGTCGCCCACATTGCACATATGTCACATTTTGCGTTTACTAGTTAAGCGTCTAAATATGTGCTTTATATACGGTATGTGCAGGTTGCCATGAGAACCTAAACATTTTAGGCTTAAATGTTTCAGTAACAGAAGCATTTTTTTCTTTTATCATAGCTTAGATGAAGCCTAATTTTTTCTTTTATCTAAAAATGCCTTTTACGAATTGAGGCATAAGGTGGTGGCAATTCTCATATATTACCTCTTACTAGCAAGATGAATAGATAGCTTCTTTGTTTACTTGTTTGTTTATCAGTTGCCTTCATTCCAGCCTTTCATGCTCCAGTTTCCCCCCCCATTCCTGTCTCCTATTATTTCTTTGCTACAGGGTGGGATTGGAGGTATGAAACTGGATGCTTTCCTTTTTTTTTTTTTTTAAAGTACTGCTGGTAAGAGAGGACGTAATCTAGTCGGATATCCCTCAGCACGCCTAAGGAATTCTGTTCTCATGTTAAGTCCCCTGATGTGAGCTGTGGTGGTAATTCATAGGCTAAAATTTCCTTGAAAACTTTTTTTTGAAAAAGCATTGTGAAGTTAATCAGTCTGTCATATACAAGTAATTCAGGTTCAGTTTGAATTGTGTCTTAGGTTGGGTTCTCTAGACAAGCAGAACCAGTGAAGCATATATATAAAGAGAGAGAAAGGGAGAGAGAGTTATCTCAAGGAAATGGCTCATGTGGTTGTAGAGGCTGGAAAGTCCCAAGTCTGTGGTGTCAAGCTGGAGGCTTCTCCTGACTCATGTAGCTGCAGGAGCTGATGAACCCAAGATTGGGAGGTCAGTTGGCAGGCTGCTGGCTCACAGGCTGCAGAGGCTGATGAATCCTAGATCAGCAGGTAAGACGGCAGGCTGTCAGCTCACAGGCTATGGAGGCTGATGAATCCCAAGATAGGCAGTATAGCAAGA